GGCGAGGTGAGACAATTATCAAAGAACAAAATCAAAGACAGAGAAGGTGATGTTATGATGGCGAGGTGAGACAATTATCAAAGAACAAAATCAAAGACAGAGAAGGTGATGTTATGATGGCGAGGTGAGACAATTATCAAAGAACAAAATCAAAGACAGAGAAGGTGATGTTATGATGGCGAGGTGAGACAATTATCAAAGAACAAAATCAAAGACAGAGAAGGTGATGTTATGATGGCGAGGTGAGACAATTATCAAAGAACAAAATCAAAGACAGTTGGTGTCACCGACCAAGTGCAACATGATGGCGAAGTGAGACAATTATCAAAGAACAAAATCAAAGACAGAGAAGGTGATGTTATGATGGCGAGGTGAGACAATTATCAAAGAACAAAATCAAAGACAGTTGGTGTCACCGACCACGTGCAACAAGATGGCGAGGTGAGACAATTATCAAAGAACAAAATCAAAGACAGAGAAGGTGATGTTATGATGGCGAGGTGAGACAATTATCAAAGAACAAAATCAAAGACAGAGAAGGTGATGTTATGATGGCGAGGTGAGACAATTATCAAAGAACAAAATCAAAGACAGAGAAGGTGATGTTATGATGGCGAGGTGAGACAATTATCAAAGAACAAAATCAAAGACAGTTGGTGTCACCGACCACGTGCAACATGATGGCGAGGTGAGACAATTATCAAAGAACAAAATCAAAGACAGAGAAGGTGATGTTATGATGGCGAGGTGAGACAATTATCAAAGAACAAAATCAAAGACAGAGAAGGTGATGTTATGATGGCGAGGTGAGACAATTATCAAAGAACAAAATCAAAGACAGTTGGTGTCACCGACCACGTGCAACATGATGGCGAGGTGAGACAATTATCAAAGAACAAAATCAAAGACAGTTGGTGTCACCGACCACGTGCAACAAGATGGGAACGTTTAAAAGACTTTGCCGCGTTCGATGCTACCCTTGTAAGTTTAGAATTACTAGGTATCTTCGGTTGTGCAAGCCTTGTCAGACAAAATTGTCTAATCCCAAGAAAGGTCTTGTTTCCAAACCAATGATATTTAAAGAATTCAAATCAAGATGCCAAGTTGATCTTATTGATATGCAAAGTAACCCAGAAGGCAAATACAAAAAACCCAAAATCTACTCATGATCTTCTAATTAGGACTTTGGCTAGTCCACCATGGCAAGTCCGTGCATTGGCCGTTCAATGTGTGCTTTTGCCAATTTCGGGCTTTAACCTAAACATATATATAAACATTTCAAGGAGGTTTTTAAATATTAGTTAAAAACAATTAGATCTGGACCCTGATGGATCTTGTAACCATATCATTGCAGGCCTACATCATTTTGTTTAATTACCCAAAATGATGCAGATTTGTTGTTTTTTTTAAATGTAGAAACTGAAAATAATCCTGTAAATTGTAAAAATAACATATTTAAATAACATTTTTTCTGCCTAGTCCCTAATGTGCTTTTAACCATTATTTTTTTGTGTTACCCTCCAGGGTCGGTCTATGACTTCACAAAATATTATATATGGAATTTCAATTGCAGTCATTTTTTAGCTCTCATCTAGGACCAACACTTTTCCCATACGGCCTAGTCATCTACAGAGGTACATGCAAGAAATTATAGCCAGATGTACAGAAGGTAAGTGCCCTAAAATCTTTGTTGAAGTTTTACACATAAATTACAAAGATTATATAGGGAAAAACAACCACTTTACGAAGTTTTCCCAGATGTGGCAAGTTTTTTTTTTACACCCCTAGGCGTTCTTCTACACCTCACAAAATATCAAGGTGGGTCGTTCAGCAAATGTTTTTTCAATATATAGCTCTAATAAGGATAATTTCACTCGTGTTCATGGCCTATCTATATAGTCTAGCCAGAAACACTCACTTGTTTGCCCTAATCACTCAAATGCTGCACTAATCACTCACACGCTGCCTTAATTACAAACGCTGCCTTAATCATGAATGCTGCCATAATCACACACACTGCCTTAATCACACACACGCTGCCTTAATCACACACAAGCTGCCTTAATCACTCATGCTGCCTTAAGGGGATATGCGCGGAAAAAAATCACAATATTTCTTGTTTTTCGTCATGATGGGTTTCTTGCACTTTTGGATACTTTGTCCATTTTTGTATAAAGAAAATAATAAGTTTAAAGAGAAAAAAATATTTTATGTGTTTGAATTACGATTTTTATGACCCTATTAATTAAAAAATAATTATTTTTTCCCAATCTTACAAGCTATCTATGAAAAGTTTTATATCCGTCATTGTATTGTATTTGAGATCATTGGAAAGCTGGATTTCTCACGTATTTAATAAACTTAATTTCCTACAACGCGGAAACACCCAAAGCTTACAATTGGCTTTGCAGTTTACACAGATACGGTACTTTCCTGACCTAGTTTTCGTTACTTTTGGCTGTTTTTCTCAGTTCGCATGTTTTTAACACTAAAAAGCCTACTACTTTTTTATTTATTAAACAATGCCAACCATATTTTCAGTAACTGTTCTTTATGCAAAAATACAACTTTTGTCACGAGGGAATTGTGATTCCTTTCATAGAAAAAAAGTATTTGATAATTAATATGCACATTTTGAAACTTTTGAATACTAAAAAGGGTACGATCGTTTAGACCTTGTAAAATTCTTACTAGTAATTATTTCAAAAAGTTGTCGTGACAAAAGTTTTAATATATACTGAAATATAAGCAGTTTAAATTTGATTGCTATAGGTGCATAAATAAAAAAGCCTTAGTATTTTTAAAAGTACCGAAAAATTCAAAATGGCGGAGGTTTTTTGGGTTTCCATGACAACCAAAATTGTTTTCGACCCTCTTTTTTGCTGTTTAATACTTACTTTTATATGCCAAATATGATAAAAGTATTCAAAAGGCATTAGATCTTAAACTGTAAAAAATAGAAAAAAACATAGCATATCCCCTTAATCACTCACGCTGCTTAAATCACTCAAATTACAAACGCTGCCTTAATCACGAATGCTGCCATAATCACACACACTACCTTAATCACACACAAGCTGCCTTAATCACTCATGCTGCCTTAATCACTCACGCTGCTTTAATCACTCAAGCTGTCTTAATAATTTGCACACTGCCTTAATCACTCACAGTCTGCCATTAAAACAAAATGCTCTGTGTTTCTACTCCTTCTATTCTCCACACTCTTACATTACACTACAACTCTTACGTTACACTACAACTCTTACGTTACACTACAACTCTTACGTTACACTACTACTCTTACGTTACACTACAACTCTTACGTTACACTACTACTCTTACGTTACACTACTACTCTTACGTTACACTACAACTCTAACGTTACACTACAACTCTAACGTTACACTACAACTCTTACGTTACACTACTACTCTTACGTTACACTACAACTCTTACGTTACACTACAACTCTTACGTTACACTACTACCCTTACGTTACACTACAACTCTTACGTTACACTAAAACTCTTAAGGTACACTACTACTCTTACATTACACTACTACTCTTACATTACACTACAACTCTTAAGGTACACTACTACTCTTACGTTACACTACAACTCTTACGTTACACTAAAACTCTTACGTTACACTACAACTCTTACGTTACACTACAACTCTTACGTTACACTACAACTCTTACGTTACACTACAACTCTTACGTTACACTACAACTCTTACGTTACACTACAACTCTTACGTTACACTACAACTCTTACGTTACACTACAACTCTTACGTTACACTACTACTCTTACGTTACACTACAACTCTTACGTTACACTACAACTCTTACGTTACACTACAACTCTTACGTTACACTACAACTCTTACGTTACACTACAACTCTTACGTTACACTACAACTCTTACGTTACACTACTACTCTTACGTTACACTACTACTCTTACGTTACACTACTACTCTTACGTTACACTACTACTCTTACGTTACACTACAACTCTTACGTTACACTACAACTCTTACGTTACACTACAACTCTTACAGTACACTACAACTCTTACGTTACACTACAACTCTTACGTTACACTACAACTCTTACAGTACACTACAACTCTTACGTTACACTACAACTCTTACGTTACACTACAACTCTTACGTTACACTACTACTCTTACGTTACACTACAACTCTTACGTTACACTACAACTCTTACGTTACACTACAACTCTTACGTTACACTACAACTCTTACATTACACTACTACTCTTACATTACACTACTTCTCTTACATTACACTACTCCATCAATTAGCTTTCCTCAGGCCTATCTGGCCCTGAATACTTGAAGGGTTAGCACCACCCCTTAGATAGCAGCAGTTAAACTATTTATAACTATCCCATACTTACATATATATATATATATATATATATATATATATATATATATATATATATATATATATATATATATATATATATATATATATATATATTTAAATATATATATAAATATATAATATCTAGATACAAAAGTTAAACATGCTGTCACTGGTTTTATCTGTATGGATGTGAGTCTGGAAGCCCCAATGCAGACCAGACTAAAAGAATCAAGGCCTTGAAATTGAGATGTCTACACAAACTCCTATTGATCTCATCAGACCAGACTAAAAGAATCAAGGCCTTGAAATTGAGATGTCTACACAAACTCCTATTGATCTCATCAGACCAGACTAAAAGAATCAAGGCCCTGAAATTGAGATGTCTACACAAACTCCTATTGATCTCATCAGACCAGACTAAAAGAATCAAGGCCTTGAAATTGAGATGTCTACACAAACTCCTAGAGATTTCATTCGGAGATCATTTAACAACTAAAGAGATCCATAAAAGAATCATTATTGTAATTGAACCTTTTGAGAACCTGCTTAGTATAATTTGAAAAACAATACCAGGTCCATTGAACAGTTTGAGGTACCTACTATTTTGTCAATACATACAATGGAAGCTTGGCTTTTCTCAGTTAGAAAAATGCTTGCTTGATGGTACAGTATTCTCACACTTTGAACCAAGTCAACAACTTGGCTGACTAGAGTTGGCTGGGGAGTAACAAACATTCCTACATTAAGGGAGAGAATTATTTTCAAAAACTTAAAATTACAAACACACTTGACTAATATCGACAACAAAAACCAAACCAGTGCAAATATTAGCCCATACATATGGAGAATAAGCACTATGTTATGGGTTAAAGCACCAAAACCATTATATATATATATATATATATATATATATATATATATATATATATATATATATATATATATATATATATATATATATATATATATATATAAACATTCAAACAGCCATGCACAAAGCTACACCTCAAGGCAGCAACACATAGAAACACATACAATTGCTACACCTAACACATACAATTGCTACACCTAACACTGCTATAAATGGAAACCAGAAATAAACAAAAAGGAAATGGTAACAGACCACTGCCCACACGCACAAAGGATTGTCAATCATTTAAGAGTCATAAATAAGCATCCAATTAAAATTCGACCTAATTTGAACCAAAATGTGACACATTCTGTGACATTACTCACCAGGTCGTTAACCCCCAGGTCATTATCTCTGCTCATTTATTACCTTGAATAATTACCCCATTACAGATAACATATTATACCAATACCTAGACCTGCCTTTACCCACATCAATCTCCCTATTCCTAACCAAGATCACGTGCTTCTTCTTAATCTTCACCCTATCCCTTTATTTATTCTTTAACCTAACCCTTATTTTATCATATCCTAACCCTTTACCCTTATTTTATCATATCCTAACCCTTTACCCTTATTTTATCATATCCTAACCCTTTACCCTTATTTTATCATATCCTAACCCTTTACCCTTATTTTATCATATCCTAACCCTTTACCCTTATTTTATCATATCCTAACCCTTTACCCTTATTTTATCATATCCTAACCCTTTACCCTTATTTTATCATATCCTAACCCTTTACCCTTATTTTATCATATCCTAACCCTTTACCCTTATTTTATCATATCCTAACCCTTTACCCACATTTTATCATACCCTAACCCTTTACCCTTATTTTATCATATCCTAACCCTTTACCCACATTTTATCATATCCTAACCCTTTACCCTTATTTTATCATATCCTAACGCTTTACCCTTATTTTATCATATCATAACCCTTTACCCTTATTTTATCATATCCTAACCCTTTACCCTTATTTTATCATATCCTAACCCTTTACCCTTATTTTATCATATCCTAACCCTTTACCCTTATTTTATCATATCCTAACCCTTTACCCACATTTTATCATACCCTAACCCTTTACCCTTATTTTATCATATCCTAACCCTTTACCCACATTTTATCATATCCTAACCCTTTACCCTTATTTTATCATATCCTAACGCTTTACCCTTATTTTATCATATCATAACCCTTTACCCTTATTTTATCATATCCTAACCCTTTACCCACATTTTATCATATCCTAACCCTTTACCCTTATTTTATCATATCCTAACGCTTTACCCTTATTTTATCATATCATAACCCTTTACCCTTATTTTATCATATCCTAACCCTTTACCCTTATTTTATCATATCCTAACCCTTTACCCACATTTTATCATATCCTAACCCTTTACCCTTATTTTATCATATCCTAACCCTTTACCCTTATTTTATCATATCCTAACCCTTTACCCACATTTTATCATATCCTAACCCTTTACCCTTATTTTATCATATCCTAACCCTTTACCCACATTTTATCATATCCTAACCCTTTACCCTTATTTTATCATATCCTAACCCTTTACCCTTATTTTATCATATCCTAACCCTTTACCCACATTTTATCATATCATAACCCTTTACCCTTATTTTATCATATCCTAACCCTTTACCCTTATTTTATCATATCCTAACCCTTTACCCACATTTTATCATATCCTAACCCTTTACCCTTATTTTATCATATCCTAACCCTTTACCCTTATTTTATCATATCCTAACCCTTTACCCACATTTTATCATATCCTAACCCTTTACCCTTATTTTATCATATCCTAACCCTTTACCCTTATTTTATCATATCCTAACCCTTTACCCTTATTTTATCATATCCTAACCCTTTACCCAGATTTTATCATATCCTAACCCTTTACCCTTATTTTATCATATCCTAACCCTTTACCCTTATTTTATCATATCCTAACCCTTTACCCTTATTTTATCATATCCTAACCCTTTACCCTTATTTTATCATATCCTAACCCTTTACCCTTATTTTATCATATCCTAACCCTTTACCCACATTTTATCATATCCTAACCCTTTACCCTTATTTTATCATATCCTAACCCTTTACCCTTATTTTATCATATCCTAACCCTTTACCCACATTTTATCATATCATAACCCTTTACCCTTATTTTATCATATCCTAACCCTTTACCCTTATTTTATCATATCCTAACCCTTTACCCACATTTTATCATATCCTAACCCTTTACCCTTATTTTATCATATCCTAACCCTAACCCTTATTTTATCATATCCTAACCCTTTACCCACATTTTATCATATCCTAACCCTTTACCCTTATTTTATCATATCCTAACCCTTTACCCTTATTTTATCATATCCTAACCCTTTACCCTTATTTTATCATATCCTAACCCTTTACCCACATTTTATCATATCCTAACCCTTTACCCTTATTTTATCATATCCTAACCCTTTACCCTTATTTTATCATATCCTAACCCTTTACCCTTATTTTATCATATCCTAACCCTTTACCCTTATTTTATCATATCCTAACCCTTTACCCTTATTTTATCATATCCTAACCCTTTACTCTTATTTTATCATATCCTAACCCTTTACCCTTATTTTATCATATCCTAACCCTTTACCCTTATTTTATCATATCCTAACCCTTTACCCTTATTTTATCATATCCTAACCCTTTACCCTTATTTTATCATATCCTAACCCTTTACCCTTATTTTATCATATCCTAACCCTTTACCCTTATTTTATCATATCCTAACCCTTTACCCTTATTTTATCATATCCTAACGCTTTACCCTTATTTTATCATATCATAACCCTTTACCCTTATTTTATCATATCCTAACCCTTTACCCTTATTTTATCATATCCTAACCCTTTACCCTTATTTTATCATATGCTAACCCTAATCCTTACCAATGGGTAGTTGTCCTACTGCAGTTTTTGCATAAGGGTGAGTAACTGGGGGTAGGGTAATTGACAGTGGGTAGGGTAATTGACTGGGGGGGGGGTAGGGTAATTGACTGGGGGGGGTAGGGTAATTGACAGTGGGTAGGGTAATTGACGGGGGGGGGGGGGTAGGGTAATTGACTGGGGGGGGGGGTAGGGTAATTGACTGGGGGGGGGGGGTAGGGTAATTGACTGGAGGTTAGGGTAATTGACTGGGGGGTAGGGTAATTGACTGGGGGGTAGGGGTAATTGACTGGGGGGTAGGGTAATTGACTGGGGGTAGGGTAATTGACTGGGGGTTAGGGTAATTGACTGGGGGGGTAGGGTAATTGACGGGAGGGTAGGGTAATTGACTGGGGGGTAGGGTAATTGACTGGGGGGGGGGGGGTAGGGTAATTGGACTGGGGGGTAGGGTAATTGACTGGGGGGGGGGGGGTAGGGTAATTGACTGGAGGTTAGGGTAATTGACTGGGGGTTAGGGTAATTGACTGGGGGGTAGGGTAATTGACTGGGGGGGTAGGGTAATTGACGGGAGGGTAGGGTAATTGACTGGGGGGTAGGGTAATTGACTGGGGGGGGGGGGTAGGGTAATTGACTGGGGGTAGGGTAATTGACTGGGGGGTAGGGTAATTGACTGGGGGGGGGGGTAAGGTAATTGACGGGAGGGTAGGGTAATTGACTGGGGGGTAGGGTAATTGACTGGGGGTAGGGTAATTGACTGGGGGGGTAGGGTAATTGACTGGGGGGTAGGGTAATTGAGGGGGGGGGGGGGTAGGGTAATTGACGGGGGGGGGGGTAGGGTAATTGACTGGGGGGGTAGGGTAATTGACTGGGGGTAGGGTAATTGACTGGGGGGTAGGATAATTGACTGGGGGGTAGGATAATTGACTGGGGGGTAGGGTAATTGACTGTGGGGGGTAGGGTTATTGACTGTGGGGGGATAGGGTAATTGACTGGAGGGGGGGTAGGGTAATTGACTGGGGGTTAGGGTAATTGACTGGGGGGGTAGGGTAATTGACTGAGGGGGTAGGGTAATTGACGGGAGGGTAGGGGTAATTGACTGGGGGGTAGGGTAATTGACTGGGGGGGGGGGTAAGGGTGATTGACTGGGGGTAGGGTAATTGACTGGGGGTTAGGGTAATTGACTGGGGGGGTAGGGTAATTGACTGGGGGGGGTAAGGTAATTGACGGGAGGGTAGGGTAATTGACTGGGGGTAGGGTAATTGACTGGGGGTAGGGTAATTGACTGGGGGGTAGGGTAATTGACTGGGGGGTAGGGTAATTGACGGGGGGGGGGGGTAGGGTAATTGACGGGGGGGGGGGGTAGGGTAATTGACGGGGGGGGGGGGTAGGGTAATTGACTGGGGTAGGGTAATTGACTGGGGGGTAGGATAATTGACTGGGGGGTAGGGTAATTGACTGGGGGGTAGGATAATTGACTGGGGGGTAGGGGTAATTGACTGGGGGGGGGGGGTAGGGTAATTGACGGGGGGTAGGATAATTGACTGGGGGGTAGGGTAATTGACTGTGGGGGGTAGGGTTATTGACTGTGGGGGGATAGGGTAATTGACTGGAGGGGGGGTAGGGTAATTGACTGGGGGGTAGGATAATTGACTGGGGGGGTAGGGTAATTGACTGTGGGGGGTAGGGTTATTGACTGTGGGGGATAGGGTAATTGACTGGAGGGGGGGTAGGGTAATTGACTGGGGGGGGTAGGATAATTGACTGGGGGTAGGGTAATTGACAGGGGGGGTAGGGTAATTGATTGGGGGTAAGGTAATTGACTGGGGGG